CACTTTGGAGGCCCATAAACACACCCTGTCTTGGCAGAGAGCCACTTCATGTAGAGCTCCAACATTTTGACAAAAATATATTTGATCGAGTTTTCATATGGCCAATTTGCTGTGAAAGATGCCACGCAGAGGTCTTGAGTTCAACTGCTGTCAGAAATTAAACCCCAAACTGTCTAGCAGGTCTCTGAATTCACACCACACCTACATTTCCTACATACTATGCAAGGGTGGTAGCTGGAAAAGTAGGACACATCTCTAAGCTCTCAAGACTTCACTTGGTGTCAGCTTACATCTAACAAAATGATTAAACACCTTTTCAGAAAAAAACACATTTACAAGGAAAAACTATAAAAAGGTAAAGTAAAGCCCTAGATAATCTTCCTTTCTGAACACAAACACACACTAGTTGCCCATCTGTAAGCAGGAATAGATTCGACAAAGTATACTTTTTGTTCATCCAACACCTCCAGTCTTCCATTTTAGACTAAGTCTTCTGGTATTTCTGTGCCGCAGTTTACCCTAAGTGCTTTATATTCCTAAACAAATTCACTTGAATAAATTTTTACATACAACACAGACATACAAATGTAAAAATAAAAACTGGATTTGAACTAAGGATGTAATGCCAACAAACTGTGCAGATATTCAGGTTTTAAAGTACAAAGGAAATCCAAAGAAAGTCTTCATTTGCCAAAGAACAATTATATCACATTAATTTGGTTCTTATTTTATGTAGTCTGATGATTTCTGTTTGCCAGTAGCCAAAATTCAAAATAAGGTTTTTTATGCATCGTAATTGTCAGTCACCTGCAACCCCAAAGGCAATTTCAGAAATCTGTGATTAGATTACTATTGCACTGATCGGAAATTGGTTATTTGTAGATATACTGCTAAAAGTCACAGAAATAAAGAGAAGTAAAGAGGACGAAATGGGTGCGATGTTGCAAAAAAAAATCTGCACTCATAGGAAACAGAGCATGTACACAATATACGATACAGAATTCCTTCCTTTCTTTAGCTTTCACAGTCATTCTCTGTGCTACACCACAGGCCAGACAGTGACTTCGGTAGAGTAAAAACCATCTTCCCAGCTTTCTTTGTCTGTGGCTAACCCAAGGACACTCAAGACATACAATGGCTTGCAAAAGCAGAAACAACTCCTCCCACTAGAACAATAACACATTATTAATTGAAAAGGTTCCAGTATTTTCAGTATTATTTTTGTGCATTGACGAGAGCAAACTGGAATAACTTCTGAACACAAAACATTTCACACCTTGTACAATCTTACAGAGGGATGTTGAGCATTTTGAAACTTTCTGCATTGTCCCTAAACAGCCAGGATGGCTAAAAAAGTTTGAATAACAATCAGTTGTGTATATGCATTTTATCCTATATACATGTATATCTCCAGATGTATATATAAAATAGAAGAACCCTAATAAAGGGTGAAACAGCTGTCCATGTCTGATAACTCTGAGTTTGTATGTGTGGGAAAAGCAGAATAAGAGAAGTTATAGGAGAGTTCTGGCTCCTTTAGTGTTGTGATTGAACTAAGAGTGAACCAATATTCTTAACCATAATTCACTGCAATTGCTTTCCTTAACTCTGACCCAAACCTGGAATAGAGTTAATTTAAATATACATTAACACACCTCCATCACCAATTTCTGCAGCAAGAACCCCATATTTCAGCAAATTCCAGTAGATCTGTGGCTGAGAGCTGCTTTTGTCATTAGGTCTAGCCTTCCACAAATCATGATCTTATCACTAAATAAACCATATGGATACTTTCAAAGCTATTACTCAGAAGGTTTAAAGTGAACAGCAGATTTTTATTGCAGATTACATAGCACATCTCTGCCATGAGTGAACTGTTTTACAGCGCACTGCTGTGAAAAAGACACAGCAGCCAGGATAACACCACAAATTGTATTTGTTTTAGGATTTTGGGTCCCTGGGTTTATGAAACAGCAATAACAGTTTAAAAATGTTAAAAAAGGACCATGAACACACACTGAACTGCCTGCCTATTTTATTAAGATATGGCTTTTCAGTTTTGTCCTTTTACAGTACCCTCAACATAGAACATGTTGACTTTTACTCTGGGTGTTAATAATTCATTTCTGACTTGTTTTCCGCTTTGAAACTCTTGAAGATGTTAAGTGTTCCCCATCAAAATTGACACACAGCTTAAAAAGCAACTTTGTTGGTGATGAGCTACTTGAACTAAAATTAGTGTTCAATTCAATGAGACATGGCTTTATCAGGATTGAAAACATTGGAGTCACCAGAATTGGGACAGGGAAGCGCTGACTGAAATCCTCTGACTGCCTGTGAAGCAGCACAGTCCAGAGAGGAAGGGGGAGCAGTAAGCCAAAAGTTTCCCCCTAATATTGCCTTTCCAGCACTGCCCCTTTCATGCAAGACTAATCTTCCCCACCAAACCTTGAACTGTAGTCTACAACTTCAGTTCAGTGTTGTGACTTGGACTAATGCACACGAGGGGATAAGGATTCAGATCCACATAACACTTTCTGCCATGCTGATGTCATACTTGTTGTTTTTCTTTTTGAATCGGGAAAGAACACAATGAACTTGTAAAGTTTGACAAGAGTCTTTTAGGTTGATCCTTTTAGGAAATCCCCAAGCATTCAACATTTCTTTCAGTTTATCCAACACCAATGTTTTTTTTTTTCTTTTTAAAAATGTGATAAATCTAAAGCAACAGGAAATGCTTTCTAAATGTGGTCCAAAAATAGTTAAACCTAATTTAATTACAGTCTTATTTGTCTTTTTGTTCCCCAGAGGTGAGGAATTTGCCTATAGCTCTGCTAAGATGCATTTTTCATTAGAAAGTTGTTTCTGAGGTGCAGAGTACTTCTGCTATGAGGATGTGTATGTATCGTTCCCTTGAGTCCTTATACAAAGTGGGGAAAAAAAGCTTGCATTCAGTACTGTAGGCAAGTGCTGAAAATCCCACTGGTGACATCTAGGCTGTTTCAATAATACAGATCCTATTAATAACACAATGATGGGAAGAGCTGGCAGAATCAATACATTAACATCTCACTGCCTCCAGTTGGAGTCAGGAATCACTCCACAACTGTCAAGCTTTCCGGAGATACTCTACTGAGAGTTCCAGGCCTCTAAGAGCCCATGATAAAATCATCAAAGTTTCTATTCGTAACCTCTGGGTTTTGCCTTCCTCTCCCCGGTCACAGTTTCCTGACTCACGATAATAATCACTTCAATCCAACTAGCAGAAACAAACGTGCATGAATAGTGCAGTCAGGACACTGCCTAAAGGAAAGGCAGTGAAATGAAAACTGTAAAGGGAAAAATAAAAACGCAGCCATGTGACCACAGTTAAAAACGCCAGGTACAGTCAGTCATCGTTAATCAGAATAAACTTGATTCCTGAAGACAGGTCGCTGGCAAAACTTCAGTCAAAATCATGATTGGCCCAATTTCAGTTTGGCTGTTATATAATCCTCTGTGTCTTATTAAAACAAGTATCCCAAAACAATGAAACTGTCCAGTTTTAACAGGGCACAGATGTACATTTCAAGACATTAATGTCACCTTTGGCAACAGGCCCTAAATTATCAAATGATGCCCATCTATTACACATGGAAGTATTAGTGTTGTCCATGTCATTTTGGGATTGTGATGTAGATGTTTTAT